TTTTTTTTTTTTTTTTAATGTTTTATTATTTTATCTTTGAGAGAGAAAGAGAGACAGAGTGTGAGCATGGGAGGGGCCGAGAGGGAGGGAGACACAGAATCCGAAGCAGGCTCCAGGTTCTGAGCTGTCAGCACAGAGCCTGATGGGGGCTTGAACTCACAAGCAGTGAGATCATGACCTGAGCTGAAGTCGGACGCTCAACCATCGGAGCCACCCAGGCACCCCAGGTATCACCTCATCTTAACCAATTACATCTGCAAAGACCCTATTTCCAAACAAGGCCACGTTCACGGGTTCTGGGCAGGCACAAATTTTGGGGAGGACATTAATCAACTCAGTACACAGGTGATCCTAGCAGTAGAAGTTAGAAGGTCCCAGCTAATCACTCCTCTTTATTTCCAGATTTTAATTAGAAAGAGCCAAGTGGAGATCTAAATATTAACATCAGGCCTGATGACTCCAAAAGGTCAGGGATCCCTGCTGATGTGGGGTTAGAGGAAGCAATGACTTGAGGCCAAAACAGGACCTTCCTTCCACACCTGCATTTCCCATTCTAGACTTTGGGACCCATCTTTGGGGAAGGTGGACATGGTGGAACTTGGAATTTATTAGAATTAGGTTCAGGGCACCCCGATGGCTCAGTTGGTTAAGCATCCAACTTTGGCTCAGGTCAAGATCTCACAGTTCATGAGTTTGAGCCCCATGTCAGGCTCTGTGCTGACGGCTCAGAGCCTGGAGCCTGCTTTGATTCTGTGTCTCCTTCTCTCTCTGCCCCTCCCCCACTGTGCTCTGTCTCTGTCTCTCAAAAATAAATAAATGTAAAAAAAATTTTTTTTTAGATTGTCCATGCTGAAATTAAAAACCTCGAAATGCACAAGGTGGACAAAAGTGTGATGGAGCAGGAGCTGAAAGAGGTGAATGAGCAGAGACTCCTCTCCCCTCCCGCCCCTGCATCCTGAACCCAGCTCTCCCACCCAGGGCAATGGAGTCATCTAGACAAGACGAGATCAGGCAGAGAGCCTCCCAGGTTCCTTCCACCTGTATCGTATAGAAGGGCTGGGGCAGCTTCCCCAAATTTGTCCCATCAACTCCTATTTTCAGTGACTCAGGATGAATGACGGTTTGTTACTTGCACTTAAAAATCAGGCAGCAGCTTCTCCATCACGGGAAAACCTTGGCTTACACCTGATAGCTGTGTCTGAGCCAATTAGACCCCGAGGTTGAATTTCAGCCAAGGCCAGGCGTTCAGGGTCCCAAACTCGAAAACACAGACCAGAGTGGTCTGATCCCGCCCCCCTCCAGCTTCCTTCTTCTGCCACCCCAGCATCGCTGCCGCTCTGAGTCCCCTCTGTCCCCAGAAAGCCGACAGGAGCACCCTGGCAGGCAAGGCGAGCCGAGCTGACCTGGAGACGGTGGCGATGGAGCTGAATGAGATGATTCAGAGCATGCTCTTCAGGGTCGTGACCCACGAGAATGACTGGAAGAAGACTGCGGAAAAGCTGAGCAAGGACCTGAGCACCAAGGTGAGTACCCCTTAGCAGTCGTCTCCTGCTGTGTAACAAGTGACCCTGAAATGTGACAGCTTGAAACGACAAATGCTCTACAGTTGCTGAGGGTCAGGAATTGGGGAGCGGCTTAATTGAGTGACTCGGGGTCTCCCATGAGGCTGCAGTCAAGATGCTGTTGGCGAGACACCTCACTCCCTCACCACACAGACTTCTCACAGAGTGGCAGCCAACGTCCCCAGGGCGGGTGGCCCAGGAGAGCGCAATGGAAGCTCTGTCAGCTTCTATGACTTAGCCACGGTGCATCATCTCTGTAGTAGCCTCGTTCCACGGGCCAGCCCTACCCCTTGTGAAAGGGTGTGAGCAGGGAGGATCTTGGAGACTGACTGCCATACTCTCATGCCTGGGCAAGCAAGGGGGCAGGGTGGGATGGAGTGGGGTGTCTGCTGTTAATTTATTTATCCATGCATCCTTTACTGACCACCTGTGATAAATGTTGCTAACGAGTCACAGCCCCTGCCTTGATTTGTACCATCCAGTAGAGAGACAGGCACAGTCAGACCAACAGTTATACTTCTGTGTGGTTCCTGCAGCAGGGGCTGCTGGTATGGCCAGGAGAGCGTGGGCTCAGAATCAGGCAGCCCCTCTGAGCAGCAGTGTGCCCCGAGTGCTACGACCTCGCTGAGCCTCAGATTTCTCATCTACAAAACAAGGATTTGTTCATTCATCAGCTATGCGCTGGGCACGTATGACACTCGTCACTGGGGATATAACAACAATCAAAACAGATATGGGATGTGTTTCTCATGGAGATGCCCTTGTCTTTCTTTTTTTTCCAAATGTTTATTTATTTGTTTTTGAGAGAGAGCACGTGAGCAGGGCAGTGGCAGAGAGAGAAAGAGAGAGAGAGAGAGAGAGAGACAGACAGACAGACAGACAGACAGACAGACATAGAATCCGAAGCAGGCTCTGGGTTCCAGGCTGACAGCACAGAGCCTGACACAGGGCTCGAACTCACAGACCATGAGATCATGACCAGAGCCAAAGTCGGACGCTTAACCGACTGAGCCACCCAGGCGCCCCTGGAAACACATTTGTCTGAAAAATCACACAAATCAATACAGAATTGCAGCCAGAGGAACTATAGTCATCTACAGAACAACTGACCTATTTTTCTTCAGTAATTCAATGATAGGGTGGGAAAAAAAGTGGAGACAGAGAGACTGTTCTAGATGAAAAGTGTCTCCAGAGACAAAACAACCCAGTGCAGTCCATGAGGAGTCCTGGCTTGTGTCCTGGTTCAATTGAGCCAAGTCTACAAAAGGGCTGGGAATGAGAACAGTCAGGAATTACTGTTCATGCATTGGGTATCACGTAGGAAAATGTCCTCACGAGTACGACAGTATTCATGAGTGAGGTGTCATGGTCTTTGTAAGTTTTCAAAAGATACCCCATCAAAAGAATAAGGCAGATGTAGCAATCTGTTAAGAATGATGAACTCCGGATGGCGGGTGTATGGGGGTTAATGATTCTGGTCTTTTCACTTTTCTGGGTGTTTCAATTTCTTCCTAATAGAAAGCTTTGTAAATTTTTGTTTTAAGTGCTTTTTCTTTTCTTCCTGTATTTTTAATTGTGGCAGAACTCACACAACCTAAAATTAACCATTTGAAGTGACTAAATCCGTGGCATTCAGTACATTTATAGTGTTGTGCAAACACCTCCCCTATTTAAGATATTTCCATCCCCCACAAAGAAGCCTGTGCCCATTTATACAGACACTTTCCAGCCCGCCCTGCCCCCAGTCCCTGCCAAACCCTGGGCTACTTTCTGTCTCTGTGGCTTTGCCTATTCTGGACATTTCATATAAGTGGAATCATACATCCTGTGACCTTTTGTGACTGGCTTCTTGACCTTAGCATCATGGTTTCAAGGTTCATTTATGGATCAGACTCCCCATTCTTTATCATGGTTGAACAATATTCCATCAGCCGGATAGACCACATTCTGTTTATTCATTCATCTGTTGATGGACACTCGGGTTGTCTCTACCTTTGACTATTATGGATAATGCTTCTGTGAACATACACATACAAGTTTTTAAATCTTTTTTCAGAAAGTTTATTTATTTTGAGAGAGAGAGAGTGTGTGAGCATGTGAGCAGGGAAGGGGCAGAGAGAGAGAGAGAGAGAGAAAGGATCCCAAGTGGTTTCACACTGTCAACGCAGAGCCTGATGTGGGGCTAGAACTCAAACTGTGAGATCATGACCTGAGCTGAAATCAAGGGTTGGATGCTCTACTGACTGAGCCAGCCAGTCAGCTGCCCCTGGAACGAACACCTTAAAAATTCAAAAGTCCCCCCATGGAAAGCAGTCTGGCAATTTCTCAGAAAGTTAGATATAGAGTCCTATACAACCCAGCACTTCCAACCCCTGTAGCCAACAGAAATGAAAACAGGTCCACGCAAAAGCTCATACAGAAATGTTCAAAGAAGCATTACTCACAATAGCCAGCGGGTGAATGGATAAACAAATTGTGGTCTCTGTACAGTGGGCACAATGAGATATTATTCAGCCATAAAAAGAAATGAAGCCCTGATTCATGGTATAACCCATGAACCTTGAAAACATGGTGCTAAGTGAAAGCCAAACACCAAAGGCAACAGAGGATGTGACTCCATTTATATGAAGTATCCTAAACAGGCAAATCCACAGACATGAACGGGATCAGTGGTTGCCTACACCTGAGGGTTTGGGGGGAAACGAGGGGCCATCGCTAATGGGTACAGGGTTTCTTTGGGGAGTAATTAGGATGTTCCAGAACTGGTCGCACTCATGGTCACACAACTCTGTAGATACACTAAAAGCCGTTGTAAGTATACTTCATACTCAGTGAATATGTGTCGCATGTGTGAATATCAGGTCTGGGGACCGCTGGGAGAAATGTGTCTTGGGCCTGAGGGCCTCAGTTGAGCAGTGGTGCTGATTTTATCTTTTGGAGGCAGTAACTGGCAGTATTTCTTTGCCTTGGCTACTGGGGAGCTCACTTTGCAGCTCCATTCCGGCAACGGTGTGCGTTAGGGGTATGAACCATAACCTAAGCTTGATCGTGTCCCCTTTGCTTGACCCCCTCGCTTTTGCTGTTTATTTATTTATTATTTTTTTTATTAAATTTTTTTTAACATTTTATTTATTTTTGAGACAGGGAGAGACAGAGCATGAACGGGGGAGGGTCAGAGAGAGGGAGACACAGAATCCGAAACAGGCTCCAGGCCCTGAGCTGTCAGCACAGAGCCTGACGCGGGGCTCGAACTCACGGACCACGAGATCATGACCTGAGCCGAAGTCGGCCGCTTAACCGACTGAGCCACCCAGGCGCCCCTCGCTTTTGCTGCTTAATCTTGTTACCCAACATTGGGTAACTTTGCTGCAGATCCTTTTCTTGAGCAAGGTGGGGTATGAATTAGTTGACAAAACCCTCTTTTCTTCCCTTTGGCTGTGTGCAGCTGGCCCATAGTGATTTGGATGACCTGAAGAAAGACGTGGATGAGGTCTGGAAAATAGTCAGGAAGCTGCTGATTGAAGGCCTCCGATTTGACCCTGACAGTGCTGCTGGCTTTAGGAAGTGAGCCCCTCCTGGGTGGGGGTGCACCTCCCAGAGGCTGGGGACAAAACCCTCTCTCCAGAGAGGAAATGAGATGGGTATCCCAGCAGATTCTGGAAGGAAGGATTCCAGACCTGTGGACCCAGGGAGAAGGAGTGGGGCTTCCCAGCTTGGGGGCTGAGGATGGGATGGGGCTGAGGGCACCCCCGAGGGGGGCATCTCTGGTCTTGGCTGGCAAAGGGGCTCCAGGAATGTATCTGCTCCAAAGCCCTTTTGCTGTGAATGAGGAAACTGAAGCTCACGGACGGTAGGGGCCATGCAGGGCCTCACAGGGAGCCTGGGTGGATCTGGGACTGGAGCCTGTCGCCATTTCCCCCACCCCCATCTAGAGAGAGTCCTAGGCAGAGGAAATCAATGTTGGGGGGGCGGTCTCCTGTCCTAAGATGACCCCTCATCCTTCCAAATATCCCCTGTGAAGGGCAGCTTTCCAGAAGGACCCTGGTTTTAAAGACCTCCATTATGTTTGGGCCAGACACATAAGCTGCACACACTTTGTCCCCCACTGCTGCAGGTGGCCACAGGTGGGGATCCACAGGGACCAGCAGGGCAGACTTGAGCTGGGCCAGGCCAGCGGGAGTGGGTTGTGGAGGGAAGTCCTGACCCTGTACAGACAGGCCTTCCCCACGGGGCAGCAGCTGATGGCCGGCTGTCTTCCAGGAAACTGTTTGAGCGGGTGAAATGCATCTCCTGCGACCGGCCCGTGGAGATGATGACCGGCCCGTGAGTACTGCCACCAGGGGGCGTCTGGGCCCAACCCCTCTCTTCTGGATTCCCCAGAATCGCCCAGCCCTACCTGCCCTGGCGGGGGGCGGGGGGGGGTGGTAGGTACGTGATTTAGATGTTCATCTGGCCCTATACACCATTCTGTACACATCATGTCCTTTGCTCCCTGTCCTGGGCAGGAGCACCGGCATCCCCTCCTTTGCCAGCCCTGCCTGGTGTCCCGTGTGTGCCAGGGTCAAGGTCAGCTCCAAAAGCAAAAGGATGGAAGGAAAGTGGGGAAAAGCTGAACTTTGTGGGACTTCGTTGCATGTATTTTTAGAGTCTAAAACTTTTGTTTATTGAGGTGAGATTCACATAACATAAACCATCTTCAAGTGAACAATTCAGGGGGCGTCTGGATGACTCAGTTGGTTAAGCATCCAACTTTGGCTCAGGTCATGATCTCATGGTTTGTGGGATCAAGCCCCATGTTGGGCTGACAGTGTGGAGCCTGCTTGGAATTCTCTCTCTCCCTCTCTGTTTCTCTCTGCCCCTCCCTCTCCCTCTATTTAATGCATAAATAACTTATTCTTTTGCTGCTAAGGGCGCCTGGGTGGCTCAGTTGGTTGGGCGGCCGACTTGGCTCCAGGAATGGCCAGTCTTTACCCAGTCCTGAGTTGAGGCCCCGCGCCGAGACTCTGTGCCCGGCATACTCAGAGCCTGGGAGCCTGCTTCGGTTTCTGTGTCCCTCTCTCTCTGACCCTCCCCCGTTCATGCTCTGTCTCTCTCTGTCTCAAAAATAAATAAACGTAAAAAAAATAAATAAAAATAATAAAAATTAAAAAAAAATAAAAAGATACCTTAGGGGCACCTGGGTGGCTCAGTTGATTCCCAGGTACATCCGACTTATTGGCTGGGGTCATGATCTACAAGTCATTAGTTCAGGCAGCGTCTCGGGCTCTGCATAACAGCCTGGGAGCCTGGGTTCTGTGTCCCCTCTCTCTCTGTCCACCACTGCTCTCTCTCTCTCTCTCTCTCTCTCTCTCTCTCTCCTCTCTCTCTCAATCTCTCAAAAATAAAACATTAAAAAAAATTTTTTTAAGATTTTTTTTTTTTAAAGATACCTTATAAAATATAAGATGTTATTGTGGCTTAAATAATATGGTAAAGTATATGAATGTTTTTGGTGCAACCTGGTGAATTTGTATGTGTGTATACACCTTTATAACCACCTCTCAGATCAAAGTGTACAACAGTTCCCGCTGCCCAGAAAGCTGATATTTTACTTTGTTTTCATTTTTTTGTTGTTTAGGTAAAATACACATAGCGCAAATCAATCATTTTAGAGAGAACAGGCCAGTGGCATTTAGTGCATTGACAATATTGTGTAACCGCCACTCCGGCTGGCAACAGGGCATTTCCACCAACTTCTCTGTTTCAAGGATTTACCTATTCTGGTTTTTAGTTTTATAATCAGAACGGTTGTTCTTTATGACATTTCAAAGATCACTGGGGCTCTTCAGAGCCCTTGTGCAGTGGCCCCATGCTGCAGATGTCTCTAGAAAGTAGGCTGGGTTTGAGGTGCCTGGGTGGCTCAGGGTGGTAAAGCATCCGGCTCTTGGTCTCAGCTCAGGTCACGATCTCACAGTTTGTAGGTTCAAGCCCTACATCAGGCTCTGCGTTGACATCATGGAGCCTGCGTGAGATCCTCTGTCTCCCTCACTCTCTGCCCCTCCCCTGTTTATACATGCTCACGCTCGCTCTCTCTCTCTCTCTCTCTCTCTCAAAGTCAATAAACTTGACGGCTGGGTTTAAGGGAGGGCTTCCTGGAGGAGGGAGCCCGGGGCCATCTGCTGGCCACTGGCACCTCCCACTTAACTCTTGTCCCCCAACAGGCAACTCATCACCATCCGCAAAGCCCACCTCCTCTCGCGGCTGCGCCCCGCCAGTGCCAACAGCTATGAGTACCTGCAGCGGCAACGGATGAGGTGAGCGGGCTCGGGGTCTGTCCCATAGAGGGGGTCCTCAGGGGCCCGGGAGCCCTGCAGACATGTCAGCTCCAGTCCCGGGATCCAAAGGCGGTCCCAGGGCATTGTCAGCCATCTGCAAGGGAGCCGTTTTGGGACAGCCGTGGCTGGGGCAGCAGATGGCCTGGGAGAGAATCGCAGAGAGGGATGGGCTTATTTACTGGGCATCTATTATGGGCTGAGATGACTGGGGAAGGGTTCTCATTTAAGTCTCATGACTCTTATGAGCTAGGATTGAGGTGCCTGCTTCCAGCTGGAGGAAATAAGCGAGGACTGTGGCCTCAGGCTTGGTGTGGCCAGGCGGGCACTGCGCTGAGCGCTTGGGCATACCTGACCTCAGTGAATCCTCAAGCCTTCCCTTTGAGGTGTATTCTGTCATCACCCCACTTCATAGTTGAAGAAACTGAGGCTCAGATAACTTAGCCACCTGCCCAGGTGGGGAAATGATGGCTGAACAACTATCACAGCCACGTAAAGGGGAGGGCCATGGGGGGGCCTGTGCCTGACACCCCCCACCTTCCCATGCCTGATTCCTTCTTGAGATCAAAGGTTCAAAGCCTTCCATTGGCAGGCCAGACTGGGGTCCCAGGGGTAGGTGGGGTCTGGGGGAGCACAGGACTCGATTTTTCCCCTCTGCCCCAACTGTGCATGTCCATATCCACTCGCCAGCCCATAGTGGCCCCTCAAACTCAAGCTGGAAGAAATTCCAATCTTGTCTTGCTATTGGTCAGGCCCTTGGGCCCACCCTGCTGCTCCTCTGGGGCAGAGGGGTCTCCCAGCAGCTGCTGTCCTACCTGTCCTACCCCAGGGAACACCAGCAGCTACAGCAGCTTCAGGATCTTGAAGACCAGGACAGGAGTCTGGATGTGCTGGGACCCCAGCAGGACTGGGGCGACGGCCCCGGCAATGATGCTAACCTCAAGTTCAAGTCCTATGACTTGTCAACATTCTACCCCTACGGGGACCCTGAGGTGTTGGACTATGACACAGTGAGTGCGGCAGAAGCCCTGGGCATGGGCGACCCCCGGGGGAGGCCGTGCTCTGCCTGGCCTCTGTGTGTCCTGGAGAGGCAGGCAAGGACTCTCCCTGACCTGGGGCCCGGGCCATCTAACAGGCCGAGGTGGACATTCTGGGAGTGGACGGGATCCTGTACAAGGGCCGAATGATCAACCAGGATGGGGCACGGCCTTCGACGGGCGTGGAGAAGGAGCTGGCAGGTGAGGAGTATCAGGCCTTCCGGGGAGCCCCCACCCTCAATGTCCTGGCTTTGCTGGGCAGCATGAGGAGGTGCAGGTAGGGCTCAGAGCTGGCCCCATCCCTGACTTGGGGATCTTCAAGTGGCAGGAGGACTTCACACGGCTACTTGAAAAAACGGAGCCCTACTATATGCCAGGTGCTGCACCGGGCACCGGAGAGGCAGTGGGGAGCAAAGAAAGATGGGCTGCCCGGGGTCTCCACATGAGTGGGAGAAACAGAATGTAAGCAAATAACCTGAAGGGGAGGATCCATTGTTAGCCATAGCAATGAATAGCTGACCAGAGGGGAGCGCCCTGGTGACGAAGGATTCTGGCCTAGGGAGGGGTGCCAGATGGCCTCCCCAAGAAGGATGCTGGGCTGGGGATGGGAGGGTTGTAAGGAGAATGCCAGTCCAAGGAGAGGCATCTGATGAGGGAATAGGGTAAGCTGGATGAAGGGGTCGGGTGGGAAGAAAGTGGTCCATGTGGGGGGGAATAGCAGGTGCAAAGGCCCGCGGTGGGGAGAAGCCAGGCACAATTGGAGTCAGGAAGGTGAGTCTCCCTGCGGTATGGAGACTGGGAAGGGGTTGGGTATGATGAAGAGATATGCATAGACACTGGAGGCCTGTGTCCTAATGTCCCAGGTAGGTGAGGATTGGGTTAGGTGGGGACACATGGATCAGTCACTCTGATTGCTGCAGCATCAAAGCCCCTGCTCCAGCTGGCTCCTACCCGGGACTCCAGGCCTCAGCTCCAGCCATGGGCCGGCAGTGCTAGAAGGGGTACCTCCTCTGCACCACTCTTCAGGGTTTTCTCCTTCCGGAAGAGCCATACACTTCTCCATTGTAGAGGGACCCTGGAGTCCCAAAGTGGCTGGAGGGTTAAATTCTGCCCATGGTTTTCTTCCTCACCCTGCTTTGTCCCCATTGACTTGAGGACTAAATACCAGGTATGCAAGAAAAGGAAATGGGACTGTTTTATTGGGAATGCTGGGCAAAGAAGAGCCCGCATTAGTGTCCTGGGACACATGCAACAAATGGCCGCAAACTGGGCGGCTTAAGACAAAAGAAGTTCTCAGAGTTCAGGAGCCTGGAAGTCCAAAATCAAGCTGTCACAGTGCTGTGTTCACAACCAGGGCTCCGGGACAGGCTTCTACCTGCATCTTCCAGCTCCTAGTGGCTCCACACGTAACTTGGCTCATGGCCGTGTCCCTCCAGCGTCTGCCTCCGTCTTCTTGTGGCCTAATCCCTGTGTTTTCTCCTTTTCTCCTGGAAGGACATTTGTCATCGGGTTTAGGGCCCACCTTAACCTGGGATGAGCTCATGTCGAGATCCTTAATTACATCTGCGAAGACCCTTTCTCTGAATAAGTTTACATTCCTAGGTTCTGGGGAGCGTACCTCTTTGGGGACCACCATTCAACACACTACAGGTCCCTGCGCTGGCCCAGGAGGTCAGGACACCATCTGAGCCCTGCATTCCCCCGGCATGGGTCCAGCTCCCCCTGGACAAGCCTCAACCCCCCAGCAGTGGCTGCTGTTGGGAGGCGACTCAGGCTAAGCTTCAGGGGTCACCGGGCAGGGTAATAACCATGGTGGCTAATATTTAATGAGCCCCGAGTTCTTGTCAGGCCTGCACCGTCTCCTTTCAGCTGGCAACAACCCAGTGAGGCATTGCACCAACGAGCAGGTGAGGGCCGCTTGCTGGAAGGTGGGGGAGCCCTTATCTCCACTCAGGCACTAGACAGGGCCCCTCTCCACCTACCTCCCCTGGGCTGTCACCCATAGGGCAGGGCTTCTCTCCCCATGGCTCAGTCATTCTTGAGACCCACGCAGCAAAGTAGGACTGAATCAAAGGACACCTCAACTGCTTTGTTCTGCTTGGGGACAACAAAGTCTAACTACTTTTAGAAGCTGGTTCGAAACCCGCCTGTGGCCAGATCTTTTGACCAGATTGCTCTTATCACTCATCTATTTACTCAAAAGAACATTCTAATCCAAAACGGACTCAGTATCTAAACCTAAATGAGCCAGTGTGAGCCCTGCCCAGGCCCACCCTGGCCCCAGATGCATTAGTCTGTTCATATCACTGTCCAGCGTGCCCTGCCATTTACTCAGTTCTTTGCCAGCTGGGGGCCACTGAAGGGCATCTGGCCGGCCTGTGCCCTCCAGGTGCTAGCACTGAGTCAGGAGCTCAGGCCGGGGCAGAGGAACACCCAGTCAGTCCCCAGTGAGCCGTGTCCCCATAGGAGGGTGGTGGACGTGCCGAGGCTAGTGGTTCTCAGGCTTGACTTTTGAAGAAGTGCCCTGGAAGGAAGGCTAAGTTCAGGCAGGACTCAGGACGTAGGAGGAGGCAGGCAGGGGGGCGTCACCAGCCTCAGCCCTCCTCACCAGCTTTGGGTGAACTGCCTAAAACACGCACAGTGACCAGGCCCCTCCCCAGCTCAGAACCTGTTGGTAGGAGTTTCCTATGGATGCTGTAACAAATTACCCCAACCGAGTGGCTTAAAACAACCCACATTTATTTTATCTTAGTTCAGGAGATCAGCAATCTGAAATGAGTATCAAGGGCTAAAATCAAGGGATCAGCAGGTCTAGTTCCTTCTGAGGCTCTAGGGGAGACCATTTCCTTACCGTTTCCACCTCATTCCTTGTCTTGTAGCCCCTTCCTCCAGCTCAAAATGTGTCTCTCCGTCCTTACCTCCCCTTCTCTGACTCTGACCCTCCAGCCTTCCTCTTTAGAACCTCGTGATTCCATTGGGTCACCTGGATCATTCAGAATACTCTCTGTCTTGAGATCCTTAACTTGATCACATCTGCCAAGTCGCCCTCTGCCAAGTCAGGTGACAGTCACAGGTTTTGGGGATTGGAACAGGGACATCTCAGGGGCATTGCCCCCAGAGTCAGGCTCCTTGGCTGATCTGTGGTGGGGAGTGGGGGGGGGGTTGTCCCCTGTATGCCCCTCCCTTCAGCATCTCAGAACTGTTTGCTTGTCTCTCAGTGAGCCCAGCTATCTCCCACCTCTGCCCAGGCTGTGCATCTGCCTCCAAGCCCTGGAGAATCTGTCTCATCTGCCAGAGCTCAGGGCCCCCTCCTGTTGAGAGCCTCACGGCTCCTCAGCTTCTGGCTTATGCAGAGGTGGAAAAGCCACAGAGGAGGGCCTAGAAGGAGCAGGTGTTGGGGTCAGATGGCGAGTTTGAATTCTGACCTACAGAATCCAGGGCATCAGTAAGACCTCAGGGAGAGTGCTGGGTCAGAACCCTGTTTCCAAGCCTCGCTGAGTCTCGATTTCGAACCTGTGCCCTGGGCCCACGTCCCTCACCTTGGAGGGAAGCAATATGACAGTCTCACTGGTTGGCTGGTTGGCTGGTCCGGCCTGAGACCTGTGGATGGATCCAGGTGCCACCAGGTGATCAGAACGGGGGCCTGAGAGCGCCCCTTGATTGGGCATTTGCTTTTATGCAGAACCCACAAAACACACTGGAGTTAGTTCTTAGTACAGGCTCAAGTAACAGTAGATACAGACCTTAAGACATAGTTAGGAATGCAAGAGGTTTGGGGATGGGGTGGTTAACAAAGAGGAGGGAGGAAAGGGAGGAGGCAAGCAGAGACCCCCAGTGGCCAGGCCCTGTGCTCCCGTCTTTGGCCTGAGGTGCTAACAGCCCCTGAGGTGCTAACAGCTGGAGGCTCTTGGCTCCCTGTACCCCTGCAGCTGAACAGTGAGTTGTTTTTTTCTCCCTTCCTTCCTTCCTTCCTTCCTTCCTTCTTTCCTTCCTTCCTTCCTTCCTTCCTTCCTTCCTTCCTTCCTTCTCTCTCTCTCTCTCTTCCTTCCTTCTTTCATATAATTTATTGTCAAGTTGGCTAACATACAGTGTGTATAGCATGCTCTTGGTTTCCAGAGTAGGTTCCCATGATTCACTGCTTTACGTACAACACCCAGTGCTCATCCCAACAAGTGCCCTCCTCAATGCCCATCACCCATTTTCCCCTTTCTCCTGCCACCCCCTCCCATCAACTCTCAGTTTGTTCTCTGTATTTAAGAGTCTCTTATGAGTTTGCCTCCCTCCCTGTTTGAAACTATTTTTCCCCTTCCCTTCCCCCATGGTTTTCTGGTAAGTTTCTCAGGTTCCACATATGAGTAAAAACGTATGGTATCTGTCTTTCTCTGACTGACTTAATTTCACTCAGCATAAGACCCTCCAGTTCCATCCACATTGCTGCAAATGGAAGGATTTCATTCTTTCTCATTGCCAAGTAGTATTCCATTGTATAGAAAAACCACATCTTCGGGGCGCCTGGGTGGCGCAGTCGGTTGGGCGTCCGACTTCAGCCAGGTCACGATCTCGCGGTCCGTGAGTTCGAGCCCCGCATCAGGCTCTGGGCTGATGGCTCGGAGCCTGG